GGCCGGACAACTGGCTAAACTGCATGACGGACAGTGGATTAGATCGGTGGTCGCCAACCGGTGGTCCGCAGACCACGCACATGGTGGTCCGCGAGGTCCGAAAGGTTGGCGACCGCTGGGTTAGGTAACAGTACTGTCTCCGCGCTAAACTTGCTGAATTTGAATATTATCGACCACAATCGGGTAAGAGAAGGCTCTTGTTCTAAGGGCTGAAATACTCGCTAAAATATTAAAGGTGGAGGAGCCTGATGTCTGCAAATGATTCTTAAGTGGCTCGGAAAAAAATGCTACTGAGAGAGCCAAGCGAAGTATTAAAATAAGGGGGGGGGGCAAAGTATTTATAACTAATGAGTGTGCATGGTGTGGCAGCCAGCTTCTGAGCCGGCCTCCAGCGACCCCACCTCCTCAGATCCCATCTCCTCTGGCACTGGACCAGGGTTGGTCTCTGTGACCAACAGAATCCAGCCAGTGACCACATGCTCCTTCCCAGGTTAGGTTATAAAAGACCGTGGCTTCCATTCAGGGCACAGTCTCACCCTCTTCCTGCTGGATTGTTCGCTTTGGTGGAGACCCTGAGCAGCGTGGTATGAGTCGCCTTAGGGAGGCCCCACAGAGAGGCGCTGAGGCCGCAGCCACACGAGGGAGCCACCGTGGAGGCCCATCCTCCGGGCCAGTCAAGCCTTCAGCCCCGTTCACACCCTGAGCTCATGAGAAGTGGGAGGCAGAACCCTCCCGAAGCTACTTCCAGATTCTTGCTCCTTAGAAACCGTCTGAGATACGTTCGTGTTGGTTGCTTTAAGTGGCTAAGTTTTGGGACCATTTGTTACACAGCAACACATAACTAATACATCTGGTTAAAGAGCAAAGAACGCTCATGGGTTCTTTGTACTATTCCGGCAACTTTGCATAGATTTGAAATGATTTTAAACTGAAATCTAAAAATACACAAATTTAAATTTTTTAAGAACCTGTTCTCATTAAAAATGCAGACACACACACACACACACACTCCACCACAAACAAAGTAAAAAACCGAATGATATACAGGGGAAATATCTGCAATTCATAGCACAAACTTCCTCTCTTTCCTATGTAAAGAGCCTCTAGAAATCACTAAGAATAACAACCAGTGAGTAAAAGCGGGCAACGATGCACAAGAAAACGCAAAAGGCTTAAGTACATCAAGAGATGCCCCAGTTCACCTGTCATATGAGAAACGCAGAGCGAAAGCACCCTGAGGAACCAGTTCCACTCATCACGTTAGGAAAAGCCATCCATCTCATACAGACACTCCCGCATACTGCCGTGGGCGCCCGCACTGGCACGATGGGCTACAACTCCAGAGGAATGCAATTCGGCAGCAGCTACCGAATTATAAGCGCACATCGGCTTTGTTCCGGCACACAGGCTCCTGGGAGTGACCAGACCACACACTTGTCTGTGGGAAAAGACTCGCGAAGGAGTTTTTCACTGCAGCTGCATGTGGAGCGCCAGTGCCTGGCCATGGTCTACTGGGAATCAATACAGCATTTACTGGGGAAATGGGATTCGTTTCTGGCTCCGTCCCTCCGCCACCCCACGGACACCAAAGCCCTCAGACACTCAAGTCCCTCACATAAAATGTCAAATGTCGAAGTATTTGTATGTAACCTACGGACATCCTCCCGTATCCTTTAAATCGTCTCTAGATTACCTGTAATGCCTGCTACAATGTAAATGCTATGTAAGAAGTTGTTATACTGTGTCATTTAAGGATCAACTTTCTGGAAACATTTCCCACCTGAATATCTTCTATCTGCAGTTGAATTCGTGGATGCAGGACCTGGGGGGATGGAGGGCCACCTGCACGTGCTAGCTTCTGGGCAGGGAAATGGGAGATCAATGTGAACACGTGCGCTGCAGGCTACATGTGCTCAACGAACTGTCAGCGTTTACAGAAATGAGCTGCTCTGGTGACCTGGAGGGACCGTGGGCCAGGCCTGTAGGCATGGAGGACATGTGCCCCTGTACTTTATTTTTTAAAAAAAATATTTTTATTGATTTCAGAGAGGAAGGGAGAGGGAGAGATAGAAACACCAATGATGAGAGAGAATAGTTGATGGGCTGCCTCCTACATGCCCCACACTGGGGATCGAGTCCACAACCCAATGTGTCCTGACCAGGAATCGAACCCTGACCTTCTGGTTCATAGGTCCATGCTCAACCACTGAGCCGCACCGGCCAGGCCCATTTCCCGCCACCGCCCCCCATACACACACACACACACACACCCTGTACTTTACAAAATGATTTTTGACACACACACACACACACACACACACACACCGTACTTTACAAAATGATTTTTGATGGTCGAAGCATATGAAATAATACCTAATTTTAAAAATGAAAAATATTTTCACCCTGGCCAGGTAGCTCAGTTGGTTTGAGCATCGTCCCCGATACACCACCGTTGTGGATTCGATCCCTCGGCAGGGCACATGCAAGAATCAACCAACGAATGCATAAATGAGTGGAACAACATGCCGATGTTTCTCTCCCCACTCTCTCTAAAAATCAATAAATAATGAATAAAAACATGTCCAATGAATGAGAAGAAACTGCAAGAAAATTTTGTATCAAAAATATTGCCAGTGGCTCAGTTGGTTGAAGCATCATCCCTTGCACCAAAAAAAGTTGCACAGAACTGGAGAGCCGTGAGGAGGGGTGGGGTTTCGCCCTGGTGGGAGCAGCAGCCAAAAACCCGGGGTTGATGCAGCTACTGGAGGAAGGGCCCCCGTGGACACACGCCTCGGGGAGGAGCAGCCGGGCTAGCAGGTCTATAACATGTCTGGACAGTGCGCACTCTCTGACCCAGCAATTCTGTTCCTAGAAATTCACCTCACCGCTACTTTCCTAGGTGTGTGCAAAGCCTGGGTAAAGAATACGCCCTGGCTGGTTTGGCTCAGTGGGTAGAGCATCAGCCTGCGGACTGAAGAGTCCCGGGTTCGATTCCAGTCAAGGGCACATGCCAGGGTTGTGGGCTCGATCCCCAGTAGGGGTCCTGCGGGAGGCAGCGATCAATGATTCGCTCTCATCATTGATGTTTCTATTACTTGCTCCCTCTCCCAACCCGTCTGAAATCAATAAAAACATATAAAACAAAACAAAACGCAAAACCCACAAGACACAATTCCCCCTAGCAGACTGGCTGGTTGAATATATTGCTGAGGTGTGGGAAAGCAGGCAGAGATGAAGGAGAAACCAATTTACACTCCACGGAGACAATACCTGTCAAAGCTACAAATACAAATGCTCTTAGTGCAGCAATGGCCTTTCTCAGAATGTGTCCTACAGAGAGATGGCTGCACAGTCACTTTTGCAGCCTTGCTCACAGCAGGTAAAGACCAGAAGTGACCTCAGTGCCCACGAGGCCTGCGGTGAGATGAAGAGCAGCACATCCACACAAACAATCCCTACAAGAGCGAAGCAGCCGCCTGAAGACAACATGTTAGATGATCACAGCAGGGCTCACACAGCACGCAGAGCACGCGCCCATTTTTATAAACACGGAAGGCAGAGGGTCCAGGTGTCATCTTGCTGCCTGTGCGTGGGAACGCAGGGACAGGGGAGGCCAAGTTCAGGGAGGCCTTCTCGTCCGTATCTTTGAAACGGGAGCTATCGGAATGTTTTATCAACCCAGACGGGAAAGGATAACGTCCTGCTACGTGTATCAGCCTCCTGCCTCGTGTGTGGGCTCCGCGGGCGGCCCTGATCTCGGCTCCGTGGAGCCCCGAGGAAGTTTCTAGAAGCGAAGGAGCCAGCGAGACAGAGCAGCAGGCAGGGCAGCCAGCAGGGGGAGCAGGGAGGGCGCGGGCAGGGCCGGTCCGGGCAAGGACAGAGGCTGCTGGGTTCATCTACCTGGGGGGCTGGCGCCGGGGAGGCCTGGCCGTCGGGGGTCTGAGGGCCAAGGCCGGCTCCTTTGGCGACGGGGGTGGTCGGGGCTGGGTCTTGGGCAGGAGCTGGGGCGCTGACTATGACCGAGGCGGGCACGGACAGGTGGGGGCCCTCCGCGGAGAGGGGCTGCTGGCTCCTCTCCTGAAACAGGCAGCCCACACAGGGTCACAAGGCTGCCCGGCGGACCTGCAGCCACCCACTCCCCGCCCCCACCCGCACTGACACCCCAGAGAAGGGGGTGGTGGGAACCCGGTACGAAGGGCACCAAGAGGCCGCAGCCCGGGCAGCTCCTTCCTCTGTCAGTCAGCCCCTCTCCTTGTCGATCTGTCAGTCGGCCCCTCTCCTTGTCCATCTGTCAGGCGGCCCCTCTCCTTGTCCATCTGTCAGGCGGCCCCTCTCCTTGTCCATCTGTCAGGCGGCCCCTCTCCTTGTCCATCTGTCAGGCGGCCCCTCTCCTTGTCCATCTGTCAGGCGGCCCCTCTCCTTGTCCATCTGTCAGGCGGCCCCTCTCCTTGTCCATCTGTCAGGCGGCCCCTCTCCTTGTCCATCTGTCAGGCGGCCCCTCTCCTTGTCCATCTGTCAGGCGGCCCCTCTCCTTGTCCATCTGTCAGGCGGCCCCTCTCCTTGTCCATCTGTCAGGCGGCCCCTCTCCTTGTCCATCTGTCAGGCGGCCCCTCTCCTTGTCCATCTGTCAGGCGGCCCCTCTCCTTGTCCATCTGTCAGGCGGCCCCTCTCCTTGTCCATCTGTCAGGCGGCCCCTCTCCTTGTCCATCTGTCAGGCGGCCCCTCTCCTTGTCCATCTGTCAGGCGGCCCCTCTCCTTGTCCATCTGTCAGGCGGCCCCTCTCCTTGTCCATCTGTCAGGCGGCCCCTCTCCTTGTCCATCTGTCAGGCGGCCCCTCTCCTTGTCCATCTGTCAGGCGGCCCCTCTCCTTGTCCATCTGTCAGGCGGCCCCTCTCCTTGTCCATCTGTCAGGCGGCCCCTCTCCTTGTCCATCTGTCAGGCGGCCCCTCTCCTTGTCCATCTGTCAGGCGGCCCCTCTCCTTGTCCATCTGTCAGGCGGCCCCTCTCCTTGTCCATCTGTCAGGCGGCCCCTCTCCTTGTCCATCTGTCAGGCGGCCCCTCTCCTTGTCCATCTGTCAGGCGGCCCCTCTCCTTGTCCATCTGTCAGGCGGCCCCTCTCCTTGTCCATCTGTCAGGCGGCCCCTCTCCTTGTCCATCTGTCAGGCGGCCCCTCTCCTTGTCCATCTGTCAGGCGGCCCCTCTCCTTGTCCATCTGTCAGGCGGCCCCTCTCCTTGTCCATCTGTCAGGCGGCCCCTCTCCTTGTCCATCTGTCAGGCGGCCCCTCTCCTTGTCCATCTGTCAGGCGGCCCCTCTCCTTGTCCATCTGTCAGGCGGCCCCTCTCCTTGTCCATCTGTCAGGCGGCCCCTCTCCTTGTCCATCTGTCAGGCGGCCCCTCTCCTTGTCCATCTGTCAGGCGGCCCCTCTCCTTGTCCATCTGTCAGGCGGCCCCTCTCCTTGTCCATCTGTCAGGCGGCCCCTCTCCTTGTCCATCTGTCAGGCGGCCCCTCTCCTTGTCCATCTGTCAGGCGGCCCCTCTCCTTGTCCATCTGTCAGGCGGCCCCTCTCCTTGTCCATCTGTCAGGCGGCCCCTCTCCTTGTCCATCTGTCAGGCGGCCCCTCTCCTTGTCCATCTGTCAGGCGGCCCCTCTCCTTGTCCATCTGTCAGGCGGCCCCTCTCCTTGTCCATCTGTCAGTCGGCCCCTCTCCTTGTCCTTCCTCTGTCAGTCGGCCCCTCTACTTGTCTGTCCATCTTCCTGTCAGTAGGTCCCTGTCACCCTGGGGCCTCCCTGGATATACTGGTACCCAGAGCAGGGGTGCCATCTCGGAGATGGTCTCCTAGCCTACAGACCTCCCCAGATGCCTCGCTGCTCTCACCCCTCTCGACAGCAGAGACCCTTCCCTAGCTTCCCCCTTCCTTGGTCCCTCACCCCCCCATGCCCACAGCCCCCC